TACAACGCAACCTGTCATGGAATGTTGCTCAGAAACCTCATCACTGGACTCAAAGTAGTTAATTCCATCTCTCGACCATTGAAGCTTTATTGTGATAACTCAGCCGCCGTTAGTTTCTCGAACAGTAACAGTTCGACTGGCGCTGCTTTATATCTTGATACAAAGTACTTGTTCGTACGTGAGCGAGTTGAGGAAAATAAACTTTGTATTGAGCATATAAGTACTAAGAATATGCTTGCGGATCCGATGACTAAAGGTCTCCCTCCTAAGATTTTCGAAGAACATGTTTCGAAGATGGGGTTATCTAAAGACCTTATTTAGTTGCATATTGTACTTGCTTACATTTAATAATAAAATTTCCTCATTGTTTTGTTTGTTTTGTCTCTGAATGTGTCTACGCATGCCTAAAGACATATAGACAACATTTATGTACAAAATAATCTTATGGGCTTAATTGTCAATTTGATCCTTAGCTTATTTAAGTTTTAAATTTGGTATTGTAGTATGATTAATGGGGGTCTTGAATTGAATATCGATTCTATGACTGTATTTCTCTGCTACAATTTCGGTTTAGAACTAAAATGAGTATTAAAATCTGATCAGACTTATCTAATACTCATCATAAATGATTACTCGGCCAAGTGGGAGAATGTTGGACACGATTTTATTATGTGGCTTGAGTTATCATTTATCTAATTTATTGATCATTGACCTAATAAATACCCTACGTATTTATTTGGTAATTATTCGATGGACGTAATTACCCTTACGACCTAATTAGGGTTTCCCCTTGGGTGTATATATAGAGGTCATTAGGCAGAGATCAGAACACACCAATCTTATGCCTCTTCTCCGCCTCTCTATTCTCGTGAGTCTCGCCCTCACCTTAGCCATCATAACAATACACCCTAAAAGGGAACTCGATCTGTGTGAGAATCATGGCCTCATCCCTAACTGCGTTTACAGGATTATCAGGTACACATGATTAAATCCCTAATTTATATTTTATGTTTAAGAATTGATCAACACCCTAAAGGCCCAAAGCTGGACGAGGTCGCCTTTGATCAACCCATTCCTCCTCTGGACGTGTTTCCAATTGGTGGTCAAATTGTAAATGCAGTTGGCAGACATATCCCACTTCCTCAGGGTGATATGGCAGACAGAGGTGCAGTTGGGTTCTATAAACTGAATATTTTCAATCTTTGTTCCAGAGTGGAGAGTGTGCTTCTCTTCAGGTGTCAAGAAGTCGTTGGCCACCTGTTTTGATGGAATAGAGAATCTGCCATTGTTTGGTTCGATGTCAGTCTGGAAGAGCTTCTTTTGGATGACGAGAACCGCCTCCTCCGCCTTCCCTCCCATCTTCGTCACAATATGCTTGAACTCTGGTGGCAGCTCCACTGCTGCGCAACAAGAAGCACTGTTATTAGTCACCTTCCTCCTCTTGTTCTTGTTGTCTTTGTTCAATAATGTATGAGGGTGACTTGCAGAAGAAGAAGCCTTTCTCTTTCTCTTGTTCTCATTCAGCTCCGTGGATGCATCCGGATGAATTTCAAGAGCGATTTCACTCTTCTTTTTCTTCTTCTTCTCATTCTCAAATTCTTGCAGGGCAATCTCAGCAGCGTGCAAGAGCCAGTCGAATGGAGTCAATGTTTGCTGCGGCTGATGGATGGGAAAGACGGGTCTCAAAAACCCATCGTTGATGTCACATCTGGGCCGCATCCTGGTAGGAAAAGACCTCTTTTTCTTGGCGGGATTGCAACCAAGAAGAAGATGAAGATCATCATCATATTCTTCTCCTTTTTCTTTCAAGAACCCCATCTCTATTTCTCTGCAGTACAGTCACAGAGAATCGAATGGAAATTGAAGTGAAATCAAGAAAGCAATAGAGAGAAATTGGTCTTCAGTTCAGGAGAAACAGATTCGAATTGAAGAAGAAACAAGCAAAGCGCGCGCTATGAGAGAAATTGACTGTAAATGCAATTTACCTGAACGACTTAACCGGAGAAATTGTGACCGCCGCCGTAACAGGAAACAAAGGCGCGGCGTCGAGAGAAATTGCCCTTCAATTCAGCAGGAAGAACAAACAAGCTAAGCTATGAGAGAAGTAAGAAATTTACTGTGACTGGAAACAAGGCGCGGCGTTGAGAGAAATCCACCTGAAAGCGTACTGATATAAAGCCGGCGGCGAGAGTTTAATGGGGATTAAATATGGCAATTCCCCAATTCAAATATTAACCCTAATGCGGAGTAGTTAATTAAACGATGCCATCTAGCCGCGTTAGCGCGCCTTGCCTCTTAACGGTAAGAATGGTTGACTCTTCGACCTCCGCCATTCTAATCATCAGTTTATCACTTTACTTTCCTAATCTTGTCATATTCCATACGTACGATTGTTTAGAATAACAATGCAATTTAGAAGGAAAAAATGAATCAAGAAGTAAACAAACCATTACACCAAAAAGTGAAAATAAATGTGGTCCCCTGGTATTTCTCGTTAGAGGTGGCAATCGGATCAATCGGATCGGTTTCGGTTTGGATTTTTTCGGTTCGGATATCTTTTAGATATATGTTATAATCGGTTCGGTTCGGTTCGGTTTAACTTCGGTTTGGATTTGATTCTTTTCTATACATTTTTCGATTCGATTCAGTTTCGAGTCAGTTCAGATACAGTTCGGTTAGAAATCGGTTCGGATACAATTTGAATCAGATATATTTTGGTTTGGGATCTAGTTCGATTCGGATATATTTCAGTTTCGGGTCAAATATATTTTGGATATATATTATTTTTTAATTAAAATTTAATTATTCATGTTTCTTTTTATGTTTTATCACATTTATCAATCTATCATCAATTCAATACCTCATATTATTTTATATTCTTTTCTAATTATATTATCTCTACCCTAAATAATCTTCACTTTTTTTTACTTTTTAGTCATATTTTACAAATTTGGACTACAAATTATGAAAAAATATATATTTGATTATGATATAAGTTTAATACAATTAAATTGATTTTAAAATTTAGTTTTGATATATCAAATTTTCTTACATCTACTAATATATTTATGTTTATAAATAAAAAGATACAAGATAAATTCAAATAGTGCTATGTTCCATTTGAATACAATTTGGTAAAAAATGAGTTAAGTTGCTTGAAATTAAGTGAGTTTTATTCAATTGAGTGCAAAATTTATAAATTGTTTGAGTGTATAGTATTTGGTTCAAATTAGATAAAATTAAATTTAATAGAGTCAAATATAATTAATTTTACACCTAAATGTAATGGTGTAGATCAAATTTGAAAATGATAACACTAAATGTTGCCGCTAGAGAGTTTTTTCAAAATGCTAGCACTAGCATCTAATGTTATTAACAAATATTGTAATTGGATGAAATTAGGATAAAGTCTAGTTATCCCATACAATTCATCATATATTTCTTTCGTCCTAAAAAGAATATCACACTTCACTATATAAAATTATGAATATTTTTTTTGTTTGTGCATTATCATTTATTATTTGATAAAATAAACTACTCCTATTATTCTTGTAACATCTTATTTTGTAAAAATTTTGACGTATATTTTTAAATATGTATGTAGACATTTGTTTATTTCTATACCAATCTTTAAATAAAATAAATTTTAAAAACTTAAATATGGCAATTCCCCAATTCAAATATTAACCCTAATGCGGAGTAGTTAATTAAACGATGCCATCTAGCCGCGTTAGCGCGCCTTGCCTCTTAACGGTAAGAATGGTTGACTCTTTGACCTCCGCCATTCTAATTATCACTTTACTTTCCTAATCTTGACATATTCCATATCAATTAAACGAGAAATTATTCGATAATAAAAACTTAAAAAAATGGATTTGACAATTTTTTCTCAATTCTAATTCTCGTGTTACTATTCATTTTGATATTTGGAGTTAAACATACATACTTTGTCTTATAAAGGTGTTATTTGTCATCGGATAGATAGTGATTGGATAATGCGTAAACGTGTTCTAACATTTCGTAATTTCAATGAATCTCATACTGCTGAAAATATCTTTCTATTGTCTGAACGTATTCTGCGAGAATACAATTTAGTTAATAAAGTGTTTGCATTTAGTTGTGATAGTGTTACTAATAATACTGATGATACTCCTAAACTTAAAGAAATTTGCCCCCTACTACGACTCTACGAGTATGGGTTGGTTTGTGCATCAAAGGTGTGCTTGTCATTTTTAAATTTATGTGTTTAACAGGAATTAGATGCTATGGAGGGGTTTGACAAAGATATCACAATCAGATGGAATAGTACATAAAAGTTGATACTACCTCCGTTCCAGAGTATTTGTCCACTTTCATTTTTACACATCATCCAATACACATTTTTTTAATCCATTTTATCTTGTAATTTGTATATTAAAAAATTATAGAAATTATATATTAATAATCTATATGTTAAGAAAAATCAAACAAGATCACACATGACTATATTTAGACTTACACATTGAGAGAATTTGATGAGTCAAAGTGCTTAAATGAACAATTCCAAAAGTCAGAAGTGGACGAATATAGCGGGACGGAGGGAGTAGTACAGATTCTAAGCTACAAACAGGAACTTGCTGAATTTCTTAAGAATAAACTTAATTTTATGATTTCATTGAATGAATTTATTATTGTTGAAAAATTAAATTCCGTATTAGAAGTTTTTAATAATGCAACACTTACTTTCTCGCATGTTTACCAACCAAACAACAAATAGATTTTCTAAAAAGTGTTATAATCGCAACATGTTTTCAATGTAATCCAATAACTTACTTTCTCGCATGCAATCCAATAAACTTTTATCGCATGTCTTTTTGCAACCTTTAATACAAACTTTAATCATTAATATTATAAAAAATACAATTATAATATTTCAAAATTATATTTCTAAAAAAATTTATTTATATTAATTTTGCAATAACTTAAATATTATTTTTATAATTAATGGTTAAAATTCAAAATTTTACTCAAGAAAGTCAAAGCGAGAAATTTTTTGGCAAACAAAATTCGTAATAGTAGTTTTGGTATAAGAAGTTTGAATCTCATTTTAAACTATTTTTAATTGTAAATATAATAAATTTAGTTTTAAATTTATGGACGAGTTTACACTATTGAATTAAATGTTACTCCACTCGCAACTTTTGGGTCTGCCACTCAGTGAAATTAGAGAAAGAAAGAGGGAAATGCATCTCTGCAACGAAAAAGACTATGAACAGTTATAATTCAATGTTCAAAAGCTTCAATTGAGAAGTTGAAACAAAAAATAACCAAAAAATCCAATCGCAATGTTGTGCGAAAATAAGAATTGAACAAGATGGTGAAAAAATCAAAAGAAGATAGTGAAGATCTCAACAGTAACGAACTAACGAAGGCCCGGCAATGGTGCACTATTCTCCAAGAGGTGGTTAGAACCGTGACGCAGAGTTAGTTGATGGCAAGGGTAGAGTTGTCATTTGCTTAGTTTATTCTTGCCTAAAATGAAAAATGGACAAGTATTCTGGCCCATTTCTGGGATGTCCCAGAAAGAAACACTTGACAAATACTTAGAGACGGAAAGAGTAAACGTCATCACCACTACAGATTAATATAACTGCACTAACCATCTTTTTGAAAACCTAAATGTAAATGTTGTACTACAAACAGCAAAGGCCTAATTTTGATTTATATAAGACCTCCGAAAAACTACAACCAGCAAACACACCTACAAAGAGTAGAAAGGTTGTACCCAAAAAACGTCCACGACTCACAAGAACAACGGAAACAACTTCGTGAAGTTTCATAATTAAAAGCAAATGTAGAACAAATGCTAGGGCGAGTCTCATAACCGAACAAACAAAAGGAAACAACCATGTAACTTGTAAAGAACACAATGTTAGGCGCAGCAAACAGCAAACCTTTTCCTCTGTTAGAAGCAGTGGATATTCTGGACCCCTGCAGAACCCATCTCCTAAAAGAGAGAAAGACTGCATTTTTGGAAGGTGGCAAAAAGCATGCAAGAAGACTCCAGTCCACATATATTGTAAGCCGAAAGTTTAGATGAAATTTCTTGTGTCTTCCCAGTTTGACCGTATAAAGCTCAATGACCAGTAAGTACCTCATCATGCAAACAAGAATTCAGATTTATTGAGTGATCATGCAGCCAAAGATAGTCCTCTCTGAGGCTGGCTCCCAGGGTTATGTGGCTTTATTTCCCAGGATGCTACCTCATGCAGTTCTTCAGGTAGGAGGATAAACGGCTGAGAGATCTCGCGGATCATCAAGTCGCCACAATATGGACACTCACTAGCAATGGCATCATCTAGTTGTGACCGAATCTGCACGTTATCAATCCCCAATGCACAGATTAATTTGTAACCCATTCAAATGTGGAAATTTTAAAACCCAAAGATATACCAGAACAAATGTTTCCATTGAAGTTCCTGACAAAAATACGTAAGAATTTGTGTCTTCAGTAGTCTTAAAGCCTTAAAACTGAAAACTGTAGGGTAAAAGATTAACCTTCTCGATGGGTGTCAAGCTAGCAATTGGATAATCTTCGGATAAGGCACCATTTGTCTCCTTCCTGGGTTCCCCATCTAGCAACGTAAGTTGCTTCTGCAGATCCAGTATATATTCGGCCTACAATAAAGTCCAAGGGAAGATTTAAGATAAGTCGAAGCAAAATATAGCATTTAAAGTGCAAATTCAGTACGACTAAATATAAAAGTACAATGTGGTGAATTTGGATGAGAAAGAACTATCAAAAAAGCAATCGTTTCAAGTACTTGAGATCAAGGAATAGAAGAAACTAACAAAGATGTGACCAATAATATAAATGCAAGTTGCTCAAAGAGAAAAGAGCACAAGTACTATGTGATCAAAGGTACCACTAGGATTGTAGGGAATATTTTATATGACTACAATATGACCAGCTTTATTATAAGGACCTTCGGCAATAATATATTTGATAAAAAAAATGAATATGGTAGAGATTCATATGTTACTATGGATATGTGGCAATATTATTTCCAAAAATAGACAGTGTGCAACTAGAAAATTCACAGAAAGATGTGTGTGGTCACTATTGAAGATAAACTGATAAAGAGAATTTTTTCCATTAGTTCGGGCACATCAGATATCGAGAAGTAGGCGGCTTTGCAAAGAGTAGAATCCCAGTGTGCAGTAAACTTAAGTAGAAACAGGTGTAATGAACCAGAATGCCGTGTCATTTGCTTCTGTTCTCAATGGATGATCCATACAAAAGACGCCTGCGCGACAGGGGAAGGGTTACTGGTTGAAAGACGCAAGTTAAGACATTCAAAGATGTTCTGAGTGA